CACCTCTCACCCCTCTCCGGACAGTAAGTAGGCTCGTGTTCCGGCCCAACCCCGCGTGTCTTTCTTGCTCCCTCGACGAGACAACTCCACCCAACAACCCCTCTCTCGTTTACTCCCACCCCTCCTCTATCAGGCTCTTACCTCCACTTGTTTCCTTTTTCTCTTTTTGTTTTCTTCTTCCTTTTTCCTTTTTTTTCTTCTTTTCTTTCTTTTCCTTTCTTTCCTCTCCTCCCTCTTTTTCTCTCTCCTTTCTTTTCCCTTTTTTTCCTTTCTTTTCCTTTCTTTCCTTTCTTTTCCTTTTCCTATTTTCTTTTCTTTTCTTTCCCTCTCTTTCTTCCCCTCCCCCTTATCTCTTTTTTCCCGACGGCAGCGCAATTTTACCGACAATATCCTGACAGGTGTGGGGGGGGGGGGGTTGTCGCACCCCCACACTCCCCTCTTTGGAGACTCCCCTGCTCGTATGCACTGTTTCGTTCTTGAAACACTGTTATATTATATTTACACAAACAAATTACCTTACAGAAAACATTAACATACCCAAAGAAAGTAGTCCGTCAAATGAATCATTATCAAACAAATAAATTACTCAAAAGTATACTGAGTAATAATCAACAATCATATTACAGGATACTGATTTTAAATACAGGCCTCTACACTGTTAAACAAAGTTAAAAGGTAGGTGTTACCAAGCGCGGATCAAGGGAGGGCCGAGCCCCCCAGCCAAAAAAAAAAAAAAGGAGAGAGCGAGAAGGAAAAGAAGGGAAAGGGAAAGAGAGAAAGGGAAAAAAGAAGAGGAAGAAGAAAAGAAAAGAGGGAAGAAGGAGATCGGGGGGGGGGGGACTTGCCTTCCAGGCTGTTGCCCCCCCCCCCCCCAATCAAAAAATAAAAGAGAAGGAAGGAAAGGGAAAGAAAAAAGGAAAAGAGGAGATAAAGGGAAGGAACAAAGAGGAAGAAGAAGAAAAAAGATATCAGTTGCAATTTTCCCGCCCACCCCCCCCCCGCCCCTGCTAAAAAAAGAGAAAAGGAATGAAAAGGAAAAGAGGCCCGGAAAAGAGGAGAGCTAAAAGGGAACAAAAAAGAGGAAGAAGAAAGGGAGAAAAGAAGGGGAGATCAGTTGCGGTTAATCCCGCCAACAATGACCTTGCCCCCCACCCCCAGCAAATCTAAAAGAGAGAGAGGGAAGGAATGGAAGGGAAAGGGAAAGAGGAGAGAAAGAAAAAGAAGAAAAAAAGAGAATGAAGAAAGGTAAGGAATATCAGTTGCAATTCCAACAAGGTGTAGATCGGGGGGGGGGGGGCTTTGGGGAAATAGAATTCAAACGTGGTTTATTTCTAATTCCATAACGGTTGTTTACAAATGATGGTGAAATGACATCCTTTACATTCATGTCGGAAATTCAATTTACAACAGTAGTTGTATGCCTATTTTCTACACTCCCCCTATATCGGGCACATGTAGCGGGAGGCGGGCACATCTACAGGGAGGTGGTTATTTGACAACGTAAAACACGTAGAATCCAAAGAAAATCCATGAAAAGAAGATAAATTGATATTTGTGAAACTCAATTGTATCTTAGGAAGCTTTATTATATCCATGACATGACGGAAATTCAATATACAACACTAGTTGTATGCCTCACTACATTTCCCCTATCTCGGGCACATGTAGCGGGAGGCGGGCACATCTACAGGGAGGTGCATGTTTTGATAACTTATAACACGTAAAATCCAACGAAAATCAATGAAAAGAAGATAAATTGATATTTATGAAACTCATTTGTATCCGAAGCTTTATTATATTCATGACATGTCGGAAATTCAATATAGGCTACAACACTAAGTTGTATGCCTTTACTACATATCCCCTATCTCGGGCACATGTAGCGGGAGGCGGGCACATCTACAGGGAGGTGGTTATTTGACAACGTAAAACACGTAGAATCCAAAGAAAATCCATGAAAAGAAGATAAATTGATATTTATGAAACTCATTTGTATCTTAGGAGCTTTATTATATTCATGACATGTCGGAAATTCAATATACAACACTGGTTGTATGCCTCAATACATTTCCCCTATCTCGGGCACATGTAGCGGGAGGCGGGCACATCTACAGGGAGGTGGTTGTTTGACAACGTAAAACACGTAGAATCCAAAGAAAATCAATGAAAAGAAGATAAATTGATATTTGTGAAACTCAATTGTATCTTAGGAAGCTTTATTATATCCATGACATGACGGAAATTCAATATACAACACTAGTTGTATGCCTCAATACATTTCCCCTATCTCGGGCACATGTAGCGGGAGGCGGGCACATCTACAGGGAGGTGCATGTTTTGATAACTTATAACACGTAAAATCCAACGAAAATCAATGAAAAGAAGATAAATTGATATTTATGAAACTCATTTGTATCCGAAGCTTTATTATATTCATGACATGTCGGAAATTCAATATAGGCTACAACACTAAGTTGTATGCCTTTACTACATATCCCCTATCTCGGGCACATGTAGCGGGAGGCGGGCACATCTACAGGGAGGTGGTTATTTGACAACGTAAAACACGTAGAATCCAAAGAAAATCCATGAAAAGAAGATAAATTGATATTCATGAAACTCATTTGTATCTTAGGAGCTTTATTATATTCATGACATGTCGGAAATTCAATATACAACACAGGTTGTATGCCTCAATACATTTCCCCTATCTCGGGCACATGTAGCGGGAGGCGGGCACATCTACAGGGAGGTGGTTGTTTGACAACGTAAAACACGTAGAATCCAAAGAAAATCCATGAAAAGAAGATAAATTGACATTTGTGAAACTCAATTGTATCTTAGGAAGCTTTATTATATCCATGACATGACGGAAATTCAATATACAACACTAGTTGTATGCCTCACTACATTTCCCCTATCTCGGGCACATGTAGCGGGAGGCGGGCACATCTACAGGGAGGTGCATGTTTTGATAACTTAAAACACGTAAAATCCAACGAAAATCAATGAAAAGAAGATAAATTGATATTTATGAAACTCATTTGTATCTTAGGAAGCTTTATTATATTCATGACATGTCGGAAATTCAATATAGATTACAACACTATAAGTTGTATGCCTTACTACATCTCGGGCACAAAGGCGGGCATGCAGGGAGGTGATGTATTGACAACGTTAAACACGTATACCTCAAAGAAAATCAATGCAAAGATGTTGAATTGATAGTTGTAAATTCATATATAATGGAGCTTTAATGTTACATCCGTGAACTCTCGGATATTGAATATAGAATACTATTTTATTACACAACTCGATCCCCATCTCGATCGGGCACATGTAGAGGTAGGCGAGTACATCTACAGGGAGGTGGTTTAGCCGACGACCGAGTTGGTCACGTGTTTTATGGAGTTAAAAAACGACCAAAAGAATCGCCATTTTTGTATAAACTGTATCAAAAATGTATCAAAATCCACACTAAATAAATTTACTTAACACTCAAACATTTCTACCTCATAATCACGGACAATACAACTGTATAATGGTAAGATTTTGCCCTGATTTGGCTGAACCACTGTGTTGCACGTATTACCTTCATTGTACAGTCATGACCCCAATTCTGCACGTACGTACGTACGATCGTACGCGCGCAGTCAAGAACATCAATATTCACGAATTGACACGACGTCACTGATATGCATATTCATTGACCTCCTTGTAGATGTGCCCGATTAGAGGCTACCTAAATCGATCACAAAATGGCCTTGCTTAGCTACAGTGAGAGTCCTTGAAAAGTAAGTAAAATCTGTTTTTCTTTGAAAATATCAATTATGTCGATATCAAATCTGTTATTTTGGAAGAAGAAAAATGTTCCTCTCATTATTATGCAATTTCATTTTTGTGTAACTGAACGAAATCTTAAATAAAATCAATTTATATCACTCTCCAAGTGGACGAATTGCACCGGTTCAACCATTTCAGTCCCATTCATATAAATTCATGCAGGTTCAATAGTAATTTCCTAACAACGTTTATTATTCGGTTAGGACAGACAAGTACAAACTTATTAGTCTAGTTTATTCTTGCAGTAGTATTGTGGTTTTACTAGTTGTAGATTTGGGCTTAGAATCAAGATCTAGGCCTAGATCTAGGCCATATCCCTTATTTATTTTGCATTGTCTTGTTTTTGTTGATAAGAATAGACCCGCTTAGATCTAGATCTGAAAAAAGTTAGATCCAGAGACTAGTCTAGTCTAGGTCTAGATTTTCTAGCCTCTAGATCTAGACTAGTCTAGTCTATAGATCTAGGCCTAGGGTCTAATTATAAATGATAGATCTAGATCTAGACTCTAGATCTAGGTCTAGATATAGGTCTAGACTATCTGGATCTATTAGGCCTAGGCCTAGGGCCTAATTATTAAAAATCAATAGGATTGTTTTGAAGGTAAAATTTTATGAAAGAAAATTAGACTCTAGATCTGGAGGTCTAGGCCTAGAGTGAGTGTTACTGTCAGACCCAGGTCTAGATCTACTCTAGATGTAGATTTAGTCTAGAGTCTAGGTCTAGATCTACATGATACTTGCAGATCTAGATCTAGGGTAGATGTAGACCTGTGAGTGAGGTGGGGGGTGGGGGGTAAAGAGCGCATTTCTTTAAGTTTTAGGTCCCGAATATTTGAAAATTGCGCGGCCGCAAATTCGCTTAGATTCTAGTGGGGGGGGGGGGGGGGGGGGTAACACTTATTTTTTTTTTATTTGGCCGGGGGGGGGGCACGTCCCTGTTGGTCAGTACATTTTTGGCAAATTTTGCTGATTTTAACCTTTTTTTTGGGGGGGGGGCAGGGGGGGGCACGTGCCCCCTGTGCCCCCCCCCCCTTGATCCGTCCCTGGTATTAGGGTCCCTAACACAGTCTAACTCCAAGCTCTAGACTAGACTATACTAGAATAAAAAAAAAATTATTTTAATTTCAGAGTCGGACTACACAAGTCGTATCAACCAAATAGACCTTGGCTTTAGTCCAAGACTCAAAAGTTCTCTTCTGCCGGGTCTCTACAGTCTTGGACTTCTCATTCTTCCTTGGCCTCAGGCTCAAGGAAAGGGTTTGGATATGCAGAATGTACTCAAGCTCAATGTCTAGGTGTACAGCTATAGATCCTACTGTGCTAAGCGGCCTTGTGGAGTGATCTTCTTACTAGTAAGATTTGCACACCAATAATAAAACAAAGGTAAGTTTTTTTTTGTGTGTGGTTCTTCTAGACCTATTTATTTGTTGTTGAGTGTGTAAATCTTGATTTTCATTAAATTTTCTACGTACAATCGCAAACTGATAAATCCATGTGAGGGGGAAGTCAACTATGACATGTCTAAATCATAGATAAATTACTTCATCAGCCAGCCTGATTAATATTGTACAAATAATAGGGCAGCAATTAATGAATAAAGAGGTGATTGAACAAACTGTAATGAGAATATATGTATGATGAAAGCTGCTCTGTTTGTTTTATACCTCTTTGCCTTCTACTCACGACAGGGGAATGTTCATTGAATCTGTTTACAACAATGTTTGGTTCAAGAGCAGGGTATCCGAGATCAAGATTAGACTCCATATTCAATCTTCCAAATGTCTAAAAACTTACAATTTGGTTGGTAACAATGTCTTGGACCGAATACATGTAAATTACTGTTGTAATTACTGATAAAAATGTACTTACGTTCTTTTGAACACATTTGATACAGTGACAATAACTTTTCTGAAAAATAGATGTGCTCTCTTCATAACAAATATATGTATCTCTGTTTTAAATCCTAGGTTGCAAAATAAAGAGCTATGGCATCTGCATGTACTGCTAGTTCATGACAAGTGAACATGTATTGTCCATCTCTTCAAATTGAAAAGGTAAGCAGTATCAATTAACAAAATTCATCTATCATTTTTCATAATCCTTGTAAGAAGTCTAATACCTATCTTACCCATTCTGTTAGATAAAACATACACAAATGGTAATGAAATCATTTATCTTCTGTAACTATTTTTTATTCTCCTACTTTATTTATTTAGCAATTAAAGTATTTGAAATAATCATAAATACAAAAAATGAAGATTGATTTAAAAGTTGTACTAGTATTTAGTAATTGATTCATTTATTACATAACTTTCAATTCCTATTCTAGACTGCAGAGCCTGAATTACCTGCAACGTTATGCTTCTTATGAAACATCAGCCAGCCTACAGATAGAAGCTCCCTTTTCCAGCTTTAAGCAAGAGGAACCACAATGAGATACAGATATTGGTATCATGGACTGGTCACTTTTTACAACCAACACTACTTGTAAAATAAGATTTACAAATTAATTCCTATAAGCTATTAAAAATGCTCTAGTCAAGGTACTAAAATTTTGCCATCGAGTTTGAGGTTTTGGGTATGATAAAATGTTAACATAAAATATTTTAAAGGAAGTTAACGGTTTAATGATACTTCCAAGATTTCCTATATTTTAAACAGAATTTTAGAATCTTGCAGAAGAAAAGAGAAGAAATAAAAAGCTATTATTCTGTCATGGAGGTTATTGTTGCCACACTCACATTACATATATAATTTTGTTCATGGCAATAAATCTTAAAATATCAAATTGGAATTTCTTAATTAGCAATTCATCTGAGCAGCAGTTTGATGACCTATTTGGAACTCTTCCTAGAGGCACTTCTTGCATGACTATGTATCGATAATTACCTGTTGGTGCTTAAAGTGCTATTGTAGCAATTGCACAACAACAAATACAAAATAAACAACAGAACATTGTGATTGAGTGAAAACAGATTTTTCCTGCAGGAAATATATTAACTCTAACTTATGTTGTCCTTAGAATTTTTTGTCAAAGCTGATAGAAAAGAATTGATGATTAATTTCATATAGACAAACTATTGCATCAAGAAACCACATTCTCACCGACTGCGTGACCTTACATGACAATGTATATCATCCTCAGATTAACAACCGTATGAGTAACAGAAATATTTGTGACAAGTATTACTCTTTTAATTTCCACAAAGGTAACTCGAATAAAGAGTGGCAGATATCAGCTGCAGTAGTTTTAACAACTGGCTGATACTTTCATAGGAGCACTTTTATTTGTGTCATTTAAAATATTGTAATTGTATCCCTTGAATGTGTTTGCTATTCTCGTCATTTACAAAATGTAGATTTCATTCATTAAAGCATAAACATATTGATTATACTTTAAAATCTGTGTTAATTTTATTTTGTATGTATTTTTTGTCTTTTAAGAAGATAAAAGGGGGGGGGGGGGATGAATAGATGAGATTGTACGCTAGCGTATAATGATAATAATTACATGATGATAAAGGGCAATGATGTGATTCAAAAATGGTGTGTTTGTATGCTGGTGAGTTATTGTTATAAGTTGGTGTTTATTTATTCATTTTTGTTCTTTATTTATTTTTTTGTGGGGGAAGGGGGGGGGGGGTGTTCATGAAGAAACAAAATTACGGCAAGCAAAGCGTTGTGATGGGAGTGTCGTTTTATGTTAATGAGAGAGAGAGAGAGAGAATATGAACAAAAAAAGGACACATAATTGTAAGCGCATATGGTAAAAAAAAATATAGAAAAAGGGGCACATAACAAAATGGAAAAGGGTCACTTCTAAGAAGAAAACATAAAGAGTTATTAGAAATAACAAGAGGAACTTTAAAACAAAGTAAAAAGGGACAAACTACATGAAGGAAAAGTGCACTTGTAATAAACAAAAAGGGATGTTAATCAGATGTTAAAGGGGCACTTAAACCCTACCTAGCATGGGTTATTTTGAAACTGCATAGCCTAGGGGGTCCGGGCCCCCTCCCCTGGAGAAAAAAATGTGTAAGAACACGTTAACTGTACCTTTTTTTGGAGATGGGCCCCGTCCCCTGGCGCTCAAGGGGGGGGGGGGGTTGCGATTTTTCAAATTTTCGAGGCCCCCCCCCCCTCAATTTTTTTTTTGATTGTATACTACCCCCCCCCCCCCCCCCCCAACTGAGCGAATTATCGGCCGGCTGTTTCGCTGCTAAATATTGTCTCACGAATTGGCCCCCTCCCGTGCCGCCGGCTGGATAAGGCCCCCCCCCCCCAGGCTAGATAGGGTTAAGGGGAAAACGGGCCGCCCATGTATTTTTGAAGAAAAAATGGGCCATTGTGCCCCCCCCCCCCTCCAGAGTGCAACATTTGGTATTGATAATGCCTAACTATGATGATTTTAAAAAAAATTGGTTATGAACAAAGATTTGTTCCCCGAAGAACAGAATTCTTCATTTTCAGATGTATGTTCAAATTAAAGCTAGCCGACACTTGCGCCTTTAAAACCAATGAATGCTGAACATAGCATATCAATAATGCAATGAATAAGGATAAAATTGATTTAAAATTGATATGGATCACACTCTTACTTAAAATCGATTTTAAGGCCAAAATCGATTTTATTTATTTAGTGAAACTGCTGCTAAAATCGAAATCAATTTTAGGCCCTTAAAATCAATCAAATCGATTTTAGATCGATTTTAGGGCTTTAGTGAAACACCCCCCTGGATGGAAAGTGGCAGATTAAATTAACGTCTTGCCAAAGGACAGTAGTGCAAGGGTAAGATTTGAATAGCGTTTATTGCGACCTACAGTCCGGTGACTTTTCCACTAGACCACAAGACCTCTACTTTGTCATCATAGCTTTTCTTCTGTGTACATGAGATCCATGTGTCTTAGATAATGGAGGGGGTGCGGAAATGAGTCCGGCATCTGCAACTGAGCCACATATCAAATTATCATTATCATGGTATAAGTTGATTTCTCTTTATCTCCTATGTATATATCAGTCTTATAGGTATGAACTTCAATACACAAAACCAAAACAACAACCACAATAAAAAACAAAAACCAGTGCCCCACAGAAAGTGATGACACCTCCCTCAATTCACCTAGACAGGCTACACTGCTAGTATTTGTTTAATAAACACAAAACATTCCTTTGCTCTTTGTCATCGGTCATGTTTACAGTAGCATGATAAATGCTCTTAAAAACGTTGATTTCGTCATATTAATTATTAAGGTCAACAGTCGATCTAATACATAAACACTAGGTTTGAAAAATACGAGGAAATCATGGTCCAACAATTAAACGCATTAATTGAATAAGTAATCAAAACCAAACACATCCTTATTTACAGGATGTGAGAGAAACCGCAAAACAAACAATCCAAACTATTCAGGTTGTAAATAGGGAAAAATTACAAATACAAGTGCATAGTCCGGTTATAAATTCTTGAGAGACCTTTTTTCTTCTTCCTTTTCTGCATTTCTTAATGATAACACATTTTCGTGAATGTTTGGATATTTATGTACATAATTGCATGTTGGCTATTTTGCTCTATTATGCATGCTTTAAAGGTAATAAAGACAATAATAATTTAGAACTTTCCTCAAAACAAAAGGGCTTGAAAATGGATTTTAGTGGTAAAATAACGACTATTAGCTGCCGAACGACTTAAATGATTACAATCAAGTAATAGTCTGATTTTCGGACTCTATAAACCGAATGGTCGTACGTTTTGTGCTGCCCAGAGATTTTGGCCATTACAAGTAGTGGGTTATTAGGGACTTTTCGATTTGCACGTTTATAAGTGGACTGCGACGTACGCGGTCATTTTTAAGCAGGGTTGACGAGGCACACTGACTCTTGTTTGTTACCTTTTCGATTTTACACAACTACGACGCTCGCTTGGTGAGCGCGAAATTCGATCGAATAGCTAAAGATCCAACTCCAAATTCGTTGCATGAGACTGTTCTCAAATATTATGCTGCAACAGATTAGCGATGCATAAATAAAATGTGCTCATTTTATGAATTATTCTGCTTATTGAGCACGAAATTCGATCGAGAAGCTAAAGATACAACACACCAAATTCGACGCATGGGACTGATCTCGAAAAATATGCTGCAACAAATTGGCGATGCATAAATAAAAGTGTTAATTTTATGAATTATTCTGCAACAATTTTGATTTAAGGGCAATTACAGACACGAAAATGTGTTAATTTAAGAGAATGCACGCTTCCACCACTCTCCGGTTCTAGAATTAGGTCAATTGGGTCCATTTTGTGACTTCAATGTGATGTTTCGTGCCTACAAAAGATTGCTTATGAACATGTATCGTCACAGTTTGCGAACGACGGCAAAACAAGGGCGAACGCGTTCGAGAATTCTGCTACGAACGATGAGCTCGTCGATGCGCATGCGCACTGCTTCAAAAGTGACCGCATACGTCGCAGTCCACTAGTGAACGGGCAAATCGAAAAGTCCCTATTGATGTAGACGTGCACGTACCTGTTACAGCTCATTTTATGTATGTTATTACCAAAGAAAAAGAGATGTTCTTATATGATTTTCTTGTAATTTCATTTCCTAATCTTTCTATCCCATCGTTCTCTCTCTCTCTCTCGCTTTATTTATCTAAGTATCTACTTGTTATTCTTCTCTCTCTCTCTCTCTCTCTCTCTCTTTCTCTCTCTTCTTTTCGTCATTTTATGAGTTGGAGGGGATCACGTATCCCCAAACCTATGTCGCTGTATCATATATACCTTTTATTTAAAAAGAAAATGAAATCAATATGATTAAGATAAGCCAATAAACATGAGACTACAGAAACTAAACACATGAATCTATTTTCTACTTCTTATTCTTCTTCTTCTCTCTCTCTCTCTCTCTCTCTCTCTTTCTCTCTCTTCTTTTCGTCATTGTATGAGTTGGAGGGGGTCACGTACCCCCAAACCTATGTCACTGTATCATATATACCTTTTATTTAAAAAGAGAATGAAATCCATATGATTAAGATAAGCCAATAAACATGAGACTACAGAAACTAAACACATGAATCTCCGTACTTTCAGAACACGTCGTAAGCTCACTAACACAGGTATGATATAAACGTTAACCACACATGTATATTATATGGCTCTATTTACGAGAACTCATGATCATTTCCCGATGACTTCCCTTAATAGGATGACTGTCTTCAGTATATATACTTACATATATACTGAGACGAGGTGACTACGTGAATGACGACAAATATGAATTGATATGACGAAGACTTCATTCTGGCGATATGTCAGAAAAGCAGTAACAAGAGGAGGAAATGGCTGAAAGCACTTATTATGACGTACGCAACAATTGTGTCTGCTTGTATTCCTGGCTATCATGAACAGTCCTTTACCAGAGAAAAGGTCTGAATGAGTTTCTTGCGAGTTTATTCCCGGATGGAATGATCATATCATATCGAAATCATGTACGATGTCCATGAACTATGTTCGTTCAGCAAGACTTTAATAGTCACAATAGAGCAGTCGAAGGCTTTTCCTGATTTCGTGGTATTAATTTTCTGCTTTGATACATCGTCTATTGCTATTGTTATGTCAAAGACTTATTTACAATACACGCTAAATAAATATTTTATGCGATTGTGGGGGCTTAATTTGATAACAGCAGTCAAATGCATTTCATGCTATTCCATGGCATTACGTATTAGCCTTGTCTATTGCTCTTGCTATCGATACATCCACGTGATCTTCGAGCAAGTGTTAGAACTGGATTGCCTTTATAAAGTAGTTTTATGAAAAAGTTTTATGGAAAAGTCCCTTTGACCGTCCCCGGCCCCCACGCACCGCGAACGGTGCGATACCATGCGTGTTTCAA